ACAGGTGCAGGCGGCCCTGGCCCAACACCGCCTCAGCCCCGGTGGTAACAAGAGATGGTAGCGGCGCACTCCGCTCCAATTGCTCTGCAAACATTTTAGTCATTTATATTCAGGACAAATGTGAATTCATAATGACGTTCATTTCACTAAGTAGGATATAAAATTGCCCTGTGGGTAAACACAGCTGTGGCTGGTGAATGGGTCACTTTCCCAGGCATTGTTTGGCGGAGACCGTGTGGACAGGGTCTCTGAATCACAGCGGGGCAGGTGCCTGGGCCCCAGGCGGCAGGCCGCCGACTGGCACTGCTGGAGCTTCCATGGGCGGGCACAGCATTGCGGGGCCAGCGGGACCCAGGCAGTGGATTCTGCGTGGAGAGGGCTCCTGTTTCCTGAGCTCCATCGCCCTGGCCACGTCGGTCAGTCCCCGTACGGCACGTGTGATAAGGAGGTGAGGGGTACAGCAGGGAGTCCTTTGAGAGATCCCTGTACTGGCCTGAGCAGGAAGTACAGTGGGTACATGTTTAACACCTGTAGAATTTTCTAGTGGCTCTTGCTGGAAAGGACCAAGCAGGGTGTGCCAGTCCCGGACACTCTGATAACACACAGCACTCAGTGATGACCGGCCGAGGTGCTGGAGGCACAGTGCACCCGGCAGGGCTGCACCCCGCCCTTTGTCGAAGATGACCCAGTGACCAGGCACCTTTGCTCCCTGACCGCTGTGTGGGAGGGGCTGGAGAGGCGCCCGCCCCCCCCCCACACCCCGCCTCCAAGGAGCCGGGCGCCCAGGCCTGCTGCTCGCCATTCTCATGGTCTCAGACCACAGGGAGGGAGTGCAGAGAAGGCCTGGGCAGGCCGGCTCAGGAGGCACAGCCAGCGTCTGGCCTGACCCTGTGGAACACTGCATCTCTGTGCCCGGGGGGGGGGGTGGTTTTGTGGGTGGGACTCTGGGTGCAGTCAGGCTTTGGCCTGACCGCGTCTACGCCAGCACCCATGGAAGAGGCCACACTGGGCCACCAGAGCCAATCCAGACCTGAGAAGCATGACCTCCACGCGCCCAGAGAAGCACGTGACCATTTCACCCGCAAGGGCCTAGTTTCCTCATTTGCAGACAGCTTGTGAACACCCTGACTTAGGCCTGACTGGAGCAGGCTATCTCTGACTGGAACAGGCTGTCCCACTCACAGAGCCCCCCTGCCCTCCCTCGGCCAGTGCTCAGCTGCACAATCCAGGTTTCACCAGATTGACGGGTGAGAGCCACCAACACCCTGCTCCTCGAGTATCTTGCATGTGTCTTTGGCACAAAGGTCACTGAACCCTTGTAAGCCTCTGCTAACACCCAGAGCTCCCCCGAGGTCTGACTCTCATGTATGCAGATGCAAGGAACATCCTTTTGCTCTTGGGAGAACTGTCCCCAGAACCTGGGTAGCTGAAGTGGGCAGCAAGTAAGCACGGTCCAGCGGAGCCTGCAGAGGGGCAGGGGGAGGGGGGGTGTGCTCACCTGGGCAGAGACATCTGTCCTGAAGGGATGAGCTGGGGCTCTGGTCCAATTCCTGCATGCTGAGTCTGCCCTGCTGAGGTCACGCTGTAGGAGGTGCTGGGTGCTATAAGAGGTAAGGGTGCTCTAAGAAGTACAGTCCTCTGCCTCCCAGGTTGTGTCTTCCTGGGATCTGGATCCATACCTCACACCAAGGATCTCACCTGAGTGCGCATACACTTGCCCAGCACAATTCAGCTCCACTAATTCTCCCGTCTGTGCCATCCGGGGCCTTGCCTCGCCTTCCTGTGTGGCCTGATGCCATGCTGCAGCCTCTTCATGCCCAGGAAGGAAGCGTTGGGTTTTGAGACTCGGGCTCAGAGACTCTGCTGGCTCATCCAACCTCAGGCCTCAAACTCTGTGACCTAAAAAAAGTAACACAAAAGGTGCTGTGTGTGATTGCGCATATACACAGATGCATTTACAGATGCATCTCTTGTGTCATTTAATAGTATTGGAACTGCCACATCAAAAGGAACGTGCATATGGAGTTTTGGCAGTATTTTCAGGTCTGCCTTGGGGTAGAATGATCAACTCGCTTTCGCTAATGTGTTCTGCTTAGAGCCATAGATCACTGGGAACTTAACTTTCAAAACTGTCCTCCTGGTCCTGGCTGTTCCCTTAATTGTGAGTGAAAGGAACAATTTTTCAGACTGGTCGGCCTGTTTTTGTTTTGTGTTGCTGGAAAGCAGTCTAATTCTTGTTTTTCCTATTGGGTTACATGGATTTTTATAAATCAGTGTACTTGGGCCATGGTACTCTTCCAATATTTTTCTTGGTGTTTTGTTCTTGGTTTTCTTCTTGTTGTGGTAAAATATCCATGATGTGAAGTTGAACATTTACCCATGCTTGTATGTACACTGACATGGACAGTTCACACGTGGATGACCCACAAGGGGTCACTGACATGGACAGTTCACACGTGGATGACCCACAAGTGGACACTGATATGGACAGTGCACATGTGGATGACCCACAAGGGGTCACTGACACGGACAGCTCACACATGGACGACCCACAAGGGGTCACTGACATGGACAGTTCACACGTGGACGACCCACAAGTGGACACTGACACGGACGGTTCACACGTGGACGACCCACAAGGGGTCACTGACACGGACAGTTCACACGTGGATGACCCACAAGGGATCCCTGACGCTGACAGCTCTCACGTAGATGACCCACAAGGGGTCCCTGACGCCGACAGCTCTCACGTGGATGGCTCACGTGTGAGGAGCTCTCGTAGCACAGGGCACACGTGGCTATTTGCAGGGCTTTGTGCCAGCGCCACGCGTGAGGCTGCCTCATCCTCCTCTGGCACGCTGCGAGGACCTGCAGGACACCCCATGCACCCTCCCCCGGCCCCACCCCCTGCAGCTTTGGATTCTCACCTCCCGTTGCCTTGAGTGAGCAGAACGGGGCAGGATGGCTGGCCCACGTGACACGGGATCTTCAGGCGTTCCAGGCTGTGGGCACAAGACCATCCATCCATCGTTTCCCCTGTGTGCACATTCTGTAATTTGTTCACTCACTCGCCTGTCCACGAGTGAGCAGGAGAGCTGCCGGATGGCCTTGAGTTGTTGCAGTGGGGCTACTGTGACTAAGGCTGCTGTAAACAGTAGCGCATGAGATCTGTTTAGAACTCTGGTTGAGAGCGGCTGGCGTGTGTGCCAGTCCTTCACATTTCTAGCCAGAATGCTTCCATCGCTTCACACTCCCACCGGCTATTTCCAAGGCACCCGCCCTCCTCTCACCCCCTGGCTTTCAGTGTTTTCTGCTTTGTTGGCACTGTGGGTGCTTGTTTACAACCATCCTAGCCATGCAGGATTGAGTTGGAGCTTCATTCTGTTGAAACTAATAATGTTAAATGTCTTTCCAAGGGCTTCTTGGGCATGGTATTCTCTGAAAAAAAAATGACCATTTAGTCCTTTCTTGTTTTTAGCCAGGTTGTTGGTTTTATGTTGTGTGAGTGGTAGGGGTTCTATGTATACATACACGTATGTATGCATGCATGCATGTATGCTCTAGATAATAGCTCTTTATTGCACATATTTTCACATTATATGACTTTTTCATTCTGTTGGTAGAGTCTTTGATGTACAAAAGCTGTTCATTTTGACTAAGTCCAACTTATCAACTTTTTATTGACTGTTTCATCTGTCAAATCCATGTCATGCAGAGGGTCCTTTATTTTTGTTCTAAGAATTATAGAGTCTTACTTCTTACTTAGTTTCTAGTTTCTAATCTATTTTGTATTAATCTATTGTGCGTGCGTGCGTGCGTGCGTGCGTGTGTGTGCGTGGCCTTCCTCAGGGATGATCTCTATTCTGTTACATTTACTAAGTGAGTGGCATTCTCCCCTTTCCTTCAAGCTTTGGGAATATGTGTGCCACTAGATGGGCTGGGCCTTGTGAGGCGGCGCATGGGAATCCCTCACTTCACAGGAAATGCTGATTTGGAGCGTGAGGGCTGGGCAGTTTATCTGTGACTGAGCCCCTCATCTTACCAGCAAGCCTACACCCCACACGGAGAGCACAACTGAGAAATGCTGATTCGCTGTTGGCGTTGGGGGGCCCTGGAATCGCAAACACAGCACACGAGGGGAGGAGCGGGTATGAAAGAAAAGGTGTGGAGGTCTATGCGTCACTGAGTGTCCCCTAAACTCCACACTGGTCATGAGGGGGAGCCTCCCAGGGAGGAGGCCTTGGGATGGGTGTGGCTCGGGTGAAGGGGGAATCTGGAGGCACACTCTGCCCCCCTCCCCACTGCTGTGGGCCCTGTGACTGGCTTGGTAGCTTCAGAAGGATGGAGGTACTGACGGACAAATGAGCTGGGAAGCTCTGGGCTGCTGGCACCAGGAGGGATCAGTGGTCAGCCTGGCAGCCGGGCTCGAGGGGACATCCCTGTGAGAGACTGAGAGGAGACCAGCTTTTATTCCTAAAGCTGGGAAATGGGTACAGTGACACCCTCTTCTCTTCGGGGTGGAAATGGGGTACCTGTCACCCAGCAGTTTGGCTTTCAGAGTAGATGGAGGCAGTGTGTGGTCACGTGCCTGCAAGAGGGCTACTGCTACTGCCCTAGCTGGAGGGACGCCCCCAGGCCAGGCCTGCACTGGACATCTGCACGACATCGCCCACAGGTGGCCAGTCCCGAGACACAGCAGCTGAGGGAGGGAAGGCTGGGCCGGAGCAGAGCACATCCCTGCCCTCCCCCGGCCACTCGGAAGGTCTGGCCACCTCCGAATGCAGGAGCTACGCTGACCCCTCTCACACTGGGAGCGTGTTTCTCTTCTGTGGAAGAGGAAGGACTGCTCCCAGTGAGCTCTCAGGATTGATAGCCGTCTTTAAGGGAAGTTATTTTGTTAATTCTCAAACGAGCCAGCTCTTGATCGCGTGCCAGAGCTGCCTGTGTTCGCAGTGCCTGAGCTCTGACCCTCCCACTCTATTAATTTGATTTTCTTTCAGCAGACAGCAGTGATGGATCCATTTCTGATGATGGCCTGGAAGACCCAAGTTTGAAGACCAAGAGGAACCGGTAGGTGGCGCTGCCCTGCCCTGTCCTGCCCTGTCCTGTCCTTAAGAGACACCTGGGCTGTGTGGCAAGGAAGTGCTGCCAGCTATGCCGACTTGGACCAGAGAACTAATTCAGCCAATAATGGATGTCAGAGGCCTTGGGTTCTGTGCATGTGTTCTAGAAAGGAGGTAGGCCTAAGCTCCAGGCACCAGCACACGGGTCAATGCTGGCTCTCCCCAGTCCTCACATGGACGCTGGCCAGCCCTGGCCGTGCTTCTCACATGCTGTTAGAGCGTCAGGGCAGCTGCTGGGGACAGGTGGGCAGGCTGGCGTGATGTCCTCGCTTACTCCATGCCTTTGGGAAATGACTGCAGCCTTGCTCACAAGGGTCTCATCTACACACGAGAGTGCTTGCTCTCATCCCGGAGCTTAAGGTGCCGGCTCCCTGAGAGATGCCGACCTTTCCCGTGATGCCCCAGCCCTGGGGCAGACACAAAGGTGGGCACGTGTGTTGCCAGTGTGGGCATTTTCTCTTTGAAGCTATGCTTTAGAAGAAGTAACACATTTTCTAGGACAGACATTAGCCATACCAGAGGAAAAGAAAATCTTGCATCAGAGTGGTACCTGCGGCTGCACAGCCCTTCCTCCCTAGTTATTTTGGCTAAGGATGGAAAGACATGGCTAGACTCAGCCTGGCCACCACACATCTGGCAGATGGGCGCAGGGGGGACTCCTTTCTACAGTGGACACCCAGTAGACAGAAACAAGACATCCACCGGACTCTGAGGAACAATGCAGGGAAGGCCAGCCACTCTCCTCCCCAGGTCAGGGTGCAGCCTCCTGCCTGAGCTGACGTGGAGGGCCCGTGACCCCCCTGGGGCAGCGACTGTGGAAGAGGATTCCGGGGTGGGGTGGGATCTGTGCGGCCCTGGGGAAAGCCTGCTACCCAACCTCAGGAATGTCTGCTTTCTTGCAACCACAAATCCCTCAGAGGGTCACTTTTAGGGAACAAAGAGAGCTTGTACTACCACAAAGATGGGGGCTGGGAGCCTCAGCTGGGGGCCAAGGCTTCAGGAACAGGTAGATACAGCTGAATCTTGATGCATACGTCCACGCCACGGCATGGGTCAATGGCCCTGCCCACCTACACATGCGCATCCTGTGACCTGACCAGTGACCAGTGCAGGGAAATGGAGACGCATCCCTGGTCCATGGGTTGGGGCCGGCAAATGAGGAAAAGTTCTGGTTCTGAAGCAAAAGGTCTGTCTCATCCATGACTTTAGCCTTCCTCAGGGACTGGCCTCGGATTCTGAACACTTGCCAATCAAATAACATGCAAACATCCATTCGGGTTCTAATCATCTGAATGGCTCCCAGAATTGAGGACTGGTTGTGGAATCAGCAAGGACATTTCCGCAGAGGGAGCCCGGTTTGGGCAGCTCTGCTCAGAGCGCTGCTCTGTTAATGGTGAGTCGTCTGTGTGGGAGGAGGCTGCGGTCCCGCCAGCAGTGGTCCTCCATGCAGGCCTGGGGCTCGCCCTCCACCCTTGCTGTGAGACTCAGCCCGATGGTGGGCGGGGCACGCCCCATCCAGCCTGCCCCAGTGCGGGCCTGCTAGGGCTCTCTGGCTCCACCACTCCAGTTCAGGGTTGATGGCCCCAGACTTGACCTTTTGACCCATGGAAGATGGCTGTGAGCCGCCCGTGGCCTCCTCACCCACTGAGAGCTGTGTGCACTGTGTAGTGCAGCGGGCATCAAGAGCAGGAACCGGTCTCCACAGAGCCCTGAAAGCCATCGATGTTGACCTGCCCCTTCTGTATGAATAATAGAGTTTTCCTCATCAAAAAGCACTTAAAATCTCCCTGTGACATGTGACTTCTGGGCAGCTGTGTTGCCATGTTTGGGAAGCCAGGGAAAGGACTGTGAGGCTGCTGGCGGTGTCCCCGCCACCGGCCCGCCTTCTCTTCCCTCAAGACCAGCCTTAGCACGCCGGATGCGCGTGGCGGGCATTTGTACACAGATGGAATTAAATTGATATTTTTCAGATAATGTAGGCTCAAATGATGTTTCTCCTAAATTTCCCTTGGAGCAGAAATATGTCTCACTGACAAGCTCTCGGCTTATGAAAGTCTCTGAAAATACCTGCTGAGTGCCACTGAGAAAGCGCGTCGCGTTCTGTCTAGCAGAACGGGTCTGAGGCAGGCTCTTCCCTGGGATCCCTCAGCCCCCTTTTGGGGAAGCCTGGGAGCTCCATAGGTTTCATAGTTGGGGCTGTTTTTTGAACATGCCTTTGATGTTAGGGAGTCCGTTTTATTTTGGATAATTGAATTGTTTTAGGGACTCAGCAGCAGTTGGTCCTTGGCTTTGGACATCAGAATGAGAGGACGTGGCCGGGAATGCCCGTGGCTTCCGGCCTGTGTGAGGAGCAGAGCGGCTCCGGAACCTGTGGCTTTCTTCCCCTCGGAGCACATGGCGGCCTTGGGTTTGCGGCTCTCAGTGGCCAGTGGCTTAGGGCACACACTTCCATCTTCCTGACATTTGGTTTCGACTTCTTTTACTATGAGGGGTGGAAAGGGCTCTCTGGGGCTGTCATTCGTTGTTGTCCGTTGTAAGCTTTGGAGATGTTGGTCGGTGACTTGGGCACATTCACGTTGTCCTCCTGCCATAGAACTGGAATTTCAAACAGCAAATGGGGTACTTTGGCAAAGTCATAAATAACTCTGGCTGAAGACCCAAAACCTGCATGAACAAGAACTGTCCGCATGGTGGGTTTCCATGCTTTCCTCAGACCTGTCTCCACTACCACTTAATGCCCAGCACAAAGCCTCAGATCAGGTCCGGCAGAAGGTAGGGGACTTTCAGGCTACCAGGAGGAGGTAGGCCCTGGGAGGAGTCTTTACCCGCAAGGGTTCACTGCGTAACCTTGAGATGCCCTCTAGTGAGTTATGTGGTCCTGTGCCCCGGCCCCCACAGCAGGGAATGGGCAGAGAGGATTTTCAGAAATAGGGAAGACCATCCCCACCCAAAAGGAAGCACAGGAATTTCACAGTAGCTTTTCGACCTCATAATATAGTGCAGAAGCCTTAGACCCTGAGATCATTCTCGAGTTAGACCCACACCCACAAAAAGTCTACTGTGGGAGGGGAAGGAAGGACAGATTCCCGTGCAAACAGAGCTTCTGCCTGGGGAGAGACGGGTCTTGATCCCTGGATGAGCATGGGCGGCAAGGACAGGCTGCACCCCAGCCCCGTTCCTGAGGCGATCCCTCGCCTTCCTACCTCGACCATGCTTAAAAAGTTAGAAAGAGTAACTACGGGGAAGGTGAGAACATTTGAAAATGTTATAAAAAAAAGTAGCCTCAAAAGTAACATTGCTGTCAGACTGTATGTTTAATTTGTCCCTGGATAGCACCAGAGCTTTCTGCCTGCCGGCGTCAGTGCCTGAGTTCTGTCTAGTTGTCTGGGAACCTTGTGAGCCCTGGCTGGGGTGGTCTTTGACACGCATGGAAAACAAACCATTAACCTACACTTACCTTTCAAGCAATTCCTTTACTTAATGCATGCTTTCAGATGATCAATTGGCTCTCCATAGAAACTCGCGGCTTTACAAATGCTGTTGAGCCTGCACCGTGAGTCATGAGGGCATTTCACGCAGGACCTTGCATTGATATCTGTCCAGGGGAGGCTGGAGCGCAGAAGCAGCCGTTTGTTATGGGCTTGCAATCTGTCTTTTAGATTGAAACATGGATCATCCTAGCATTTATTTTCTTTGCAAAAATGACCATGAAACTTGGACGTGTCTGAGAGGAAAGCGTGTGACCTCGGTCTGCGGGGATGTGGGAGGTGGCGTTCTCTTCCCGCTTCCAAAGCTCTTCGCTCAGTAGAGATACTCGGACCCCAAGAGGCCAGTCTAGCGTGGACTCTGAAGCCCCTGACCAGAGTGTCTGTGATTGATTCCCAGTTAGACCCTTCCGGTCTTCCTCCCATCCCACTGGGCTCCGCCGTGGTAACTGGGTGGGTGGACAGAGCCTGGGGCCTCCCAGGGACTCTCCTGACTGGCCGCAGGCTGGAGAACTAAGAGGGAAAGAAACCCGATGCCTGCAACAGGCCCGGGCGCCCCTCTCCTGCAGGGGGCACTGGCCTCTACAGAGGCCCCTCCCTCCAAGGGTCTGCTCCCCTGCTGTTCCTGTGACCCAAGGCTGCATCTGTGAAGGGAAACGGGCGCCTCCCGGCCTCTGGAGCACAGCCTCGAACCCACTAGCACATTGCGGCTGTGTGCCGATTCCTCAGGCGGGGGTCAGATTTGGGGACCTCACATCTCCTGTCAGCCAACTATACAGAAGAAGGCCCGGTGTTTCCCTGATTGGTCAAGACCTGGGAAAGCAGGAGCGTGGACCGCTGGACACATGAACAGCCACATCCCTGCGTGTGTGAATTCCAGCCCTGGCGAGGTATGCATGGGATAGGCGTCTGCCCGTGCTCGATGTGTGCGGGCTTGGGACCACACAGGCGGCGGTGTGTCTTCTGTGCTGGGAGCAGGTGGCTGTGGTCCTGGCCTCACGCTTCCCACCAGCTTAGATGCTCAAAGGACTGGGTACAGCAGGTCAGACCACAGGCCAGCCCCGTTCTCACCTTGGTGAGCTGGCTCTGACGCGGCTCTGTACAGCACCTGTGTCTTCACGTCCTGCCCCCTCTCCCATCCGTCCCCGTGTGGGGCTCACCTGGGTGCTTCTGCTCCTTTGGAGCTCCCTGGAAAACTATACCTGAGCTTCAGCCCTGCCCTCCTGGCCCGGAGACCCTCTGCCCAGCCCAGCCCTCAGCTGGGTGGGCGAGCACCTCCCACGGAAGCCTGCCTGTCCTTGGGTCTCCAGGAGGACAGAGTGCAGGAGAGCCGTCTCTTTGTTTCCATGCTTGACCATTGGAGGAAGGCCCAGGGATCGGCTGTGACTGCGGCTGGCGGTCAGCAGAGCCGTGGTGCCCCGTCCACCTCACGTCCTGACAGAGCGGTCAGGGGGCTATTGAG